AATAAAAAGTTTGAAATATAGAAACTATTTCCGATTAATTTTAATAATTTTTAAGTGGTCCTTCATTTATTGGGAGGTACTGTATATTAAAAATAATAATAATTTAAATAATAAAACATTATATAAGTTTTGAAATTAAAATATAAAAAATTTTAATAATAAGAGATAAGTAAATATTTTAATAAGAAAAAAGAAAAAAAAACAAAAAATATTAAAACAATATATAATTAAAAAATATATTACAATAATTTATAGTCAAAAAAATAGAGAAATAATATTATGTAATAAAAACTAATATTAATATCAATAAAGCCTTAAAATATTAGTTTTAATTAAATTTATTTTCAATATTATTTCAATATCAAATTAATATTAAATTTATTATAAGTTTAATATAGTAGGTTTTAAATTATATATTAAATTTATTATAAGTTAGTATTACATATTATTTTATATTGATTTAAAATTCTAATCTTGATATATATTCCAAGATAAATCAATAGTAATAAATTAATATGGAAAAAAAATTTTAATATCAAGATAAAACATGTTTTATAATTTTTATTAATGAAATAGATATTGTAAATATTATATAATAAATTATAAAATATAAGATATATGACTATATATGTTGGCATACCATCTATTGTAGCAAATATATTTCAAAAAATATTAGCATAGAAAAAAAATAAATTATTTGTTAGTAAATAAATAAAATATTTTAGACAAAATTATTATTTTATAAAGTTTTAAAGAAAAATAAGAGATTGAATATAAATATGATAATATTATTATATATGATTTTTGGATAGATGTATTAGAGTCCAGTCAGATGATGACATCCTGTAAGTCACATTTGATTGATAATGTTATAATAGTTTTTATTTGGATGTGGCGATTTCAAATTTATATGTAATGTAAGGTGATTAATGTTATTGTATTACAGTAATGGTTTAATTTGGTCAGAACCTTAATTACAACAATCCTAATAAAATTTAAATTTGTCATACTTTCAAAGTTGACAGTACAGTAATATTATTCGATTGACTAACCCCTGACGATCTCACTAAAATAGACATTATTGACTATGCACCGAACATTCGTACAGGGGGACAAAATTAATGCAACGTTTTTTAAGGAAAAATATTTTTATTATGCCAAGAGCCGATCGAAACATTTCTGTCCCTTACGGTACGGTACGCAATAACAAAAAATTTTATGTACTGTATGCTGTCACAGGAAATGTCTAACCTATCATTTACGCGAATCTTTTTCCATTGTAATAAACATAAGTTGTACATGTGTTACATTTCCGCGTCCCCTATTTTTGTATAAAAAAGTGTGTAAAAAAAGTCGTGTTTACGTTTAAACGAAAGACGTTTCTTAACTGCCATAGTACCTCATTTTTCGAAATGTTTGACTTTTTTGGAATTGGTCGGAGAATGGTTAGTCTTTACAGCAAATAGTTTGTTTGAAATCAGTGAAAAAAAATTATTCATTTAAAACTTCGAACAATCATCAGTTCCTTGAATCAGGGAAATTTCGAGTAATGAGATGCGGGATTGGCACATTTGTAATCACTCTATATTTGATCTACCTTTCGTTTCTTGCATATCAAGTTGCTACCGATAATCCTATGATACAAATATCTTATGAATATTTAGAAAAGCTCAGAATTCCCGGTAATTATTATGTTATGTTAGAGGTGTAAGCTCTTAACCTAACAAATACTTATTCATATTTATACTTTCATAAGATATCGAAATCTGTGGTAGTTACAGCGACGTCCAGATATCTAGATGTGTTTTCACATGGGATGACTGGAGTTCAACAGCATTTGAAAACTGTGCTACAGAAGACTATTCGTTTTTACGTACGGACAGTGACCATACAAAAGATAATCAGTTCTGCTATCTTTTTTCCACCAATAGCACATTCTTTTACGGAAATGCAGACAAAAAACCCAAGGGCCCTTGGGTACGAAATATCGATTTCTATTTCAAAATAACAAATATTTCTGAAGTTACTTCGCATTTCGTATCCGTAGGGACTATCTCATGCCAATTAATGGATCCAGGTAATTAAAAACTTTATTTCATATGTCAAATATGATTGATGCTACTCGCGCGATATATACACCAAGCTAATTATTTTCTACAGAATTTAATCCATTATGGAATGTGGTCGCAAAGAATCCAGCCAACGAACGTGTGGAACAAGAATTCCGGCTACAAATAAATGCATTCTCGGGCATTCAAAATACGTCGACTACGGTTCGTCGGTTTAATTCACGCATTTACTATAGAATATTTCTTCTGAATTTAACATATTTCCAAAAGTACAGGTGTCTTTCAGGAAGATTTCATTTTTATCCATTTTAGCTCACGACCTTTCCTCTGTTTTTGGTCTGAAGCCTAATTACGACACCACGCCCTATCTGAATTCAGCATCAAAATATTTTCCACTGCATCCAAGTGAAAACTTCACATTAGACAGTCTTACAGGTCATTTTAGTGTTTCCCCAGGTAGCTTTCTCCATGAAGTACAGTCTGAAAAGCGGTAGGTCACGTAATCTTTTGAAATATCAATTTATTGATAATTTATAAGATTCATTTACATTATTTCACTCACATACTAGTACGCACACTATTTTCGGATCTCTTGGAGTGGCTGGCGGCGCTATTGGTGAGTTGAAAAAAAAAAACTAATACGCGTTGACTATTAGGTTGGCTAATGTATGTGTATGTTTGTAGGATTAATCGGTGGAATTTATGTGCTGCTCTTTGGACATCCAAGACGGGATCCTTGGTAAGCCGTTAAAAATATTGCTTTTTGCACGATTCCTAAAGGTGTTTTCTTACAGAAAATTTATTTAAAAGGGGTTTAATGCATCGAGTGTTAAAAACAGAAATAAAAAAAGAAAACTTAAGGAATCTTCCATTCGTCTCTGATGATATCATCATTGATGAAGCACTTTCTACCGAACAAAAAGTAGAAATGTTAGATAATAAAATCCGAGGATTGGAGACGATCTTGGAGGATTATATATTTAATCCAACTACCCTAAAACAGCTAGGAAAGCGTCAAATAGATAGCGGCTAACAACTTCTATTTTACATAAACTCAGTTATATTAAAAATGTATTAATATTGATCAAGTTAATTAATTTCAAACAGATATTAGAAGGTGCGCTTTTATTTTTGCGAGGATATTAATAAAATATTATGTATTATGTATTTATGCTACAAAAGTTTACTATCGAAAAAGGATTCGAATGCCTTCTTGGAGATGCAAGTTCCTCCTTTTTAAAAGTACTTTTAAAAGCATAAGTACAATATGTAATATTCAAAACCAGAATATTTTTACTATATATTATTATATAGTGTAACACGGAAAAGAGTGATGCGACTTATGCTGAATTTCGGGTTTCTCCACGATATTGGGAAGAAAGACTGCAGTA